TTCCTCTAAGTCTTCCTCCAAATATGACCAAGTTACGAAAACAAGGTCAAGCAATTTCTGTACAACGAAAGTGGACTGCGACCAAAGAAATTTTCACACTATCTTGGTCTTCATATCTTCGATTAAATTACATATCACCTCGAAAGTTGTTTAAATTCACTAGCTTTCTTCTAAACTCAGTGGAATTTTGACTTACCTTTTCTTTAAATCTTTAATAAATTATTATTTATTATTAATAAATTTTTTTATTAAGTCTGAACTGTTTTGCTTCAACTGGAACAGCATCGTTTTCCACGCGAATCAATTACTTCCAGAATAGCTAATTATTATTGTATGCCTTTAATGTTTTAAACTTTAATATTCCCTCACTACTAATATGGATCTACCTTTCCTTTCTTGCTTGAGACATTTTTCTGCATTTAGACTTGCGTAAAGTAAATAATTCGCTAACATTAATCACGACACGATTTTTTTATCATTTTCCTACTTTGAATATTTTCTTAACTTTAAACCTATCGACTTTCCTACTTTCCTACTTTGCAATTTTTGCAGAATTCAATTCGGCACAATCTCTCGCTTCACGAGAGGTTTGTCAAATGCCCTAAATTGAGCGATAATGTCAAGGCCTCCTATTGGAGAATGAACCATGAGGCTCCCCTCAGCAAGTCATTTATGCGACACCGTGCTTGCTCCATGGACATTCACTCAGCTGCTACAGACTGCGACAATCGCGTCGAATATGGATCCACTCGTTATAGGCCACGGGCTGCATCAGGCGATTTTCAGTCCGGAAAACACACTATTCTGAAAAAATGTGTTGGTAGAGTTGGCAATACTAGTAAAACCATCGGGAAATGTAACATGGATATTAGTATTGGTCAGCCATTAATTTCCATCGATAAGCCATTTCTCGTAAGGGGGAATAAGATTGATGGAAATGGCGTAATTGATGAAGTTGATTTGAACATAACGAATAGTCAATTACTTAATGAGAAAACGAACTTGGGGCCTACAGCAGCTGCATTAGTATCTGCCTCTAACAGTACTATGGCTCCGTCCAGTAACAAATCAAACAAATCTGATTATTCTTTTCGTCCTTTCGATGATTCGGACGTCCAGGCTGACAACATGAATATTGGATTCAATGCTCGGCATGGTATGTGAATAATTTAACTCAAACAGAGTTGGTTTTAAACGAGAAATTTAATGCATGAGGGAATTTTTCTTTAATTGCGTGATTATAAGTACCCCAAAAATTAATGTTTTTTAGTGAAAAATTTGGTCTACGATCGTCATTTTTTTATCTAAGATCTAATTCTGAAACT